TGTTGCTGTCAAAGCAACAACTTTTGCTTGTGGTAGTATAGCCCGTAACAAGTCCAGTTGTCGATAATCAGTGCGGAAACTCTCACCCCACGTTCCAATGCAGTGAGCCTCATCCACAATGATATGCGATACCTTCTCCTGATATATTTCTTTTTTTTAGCTCACCAAGGAACCCCTTCTGTAACAAGTGCTCAGGGTGCCCAAGAATATATGTTGGCCTATGGGACATGACACTTTCGAATCCAAAACGCTCTGGTATAATTCGCGTACACCTTTGGCCGTAATACTTAGCCTTTTCATGGATGATTGCATTCAGGGGACTCACAACCAAAATGGATGTTAAATATTCCTGCAAAGGGAATTTGCATATCATAGTGCACGAACAAGCTGCCTGACAACGCCTGACTCCAATATAATAAGGAATCAATTCATATGCCAGACTTTTACCGAAACCAGTCGGCAGAACAGTTATTACATCACCGTTTTCTGAAGCGAAAACAGTGTCAATTTGCTGTTTCTTCAAACAAAACACATACAGAAGTATCTAAATCTACAGAGTATCGAATTAATGCACATTTAAGTGCATTAACTCTATTCAACATGTCTTCAATTTTCGCCATTGAACTAGTAAAATGTATAAAGAAATACAGTAGTTTGAACGCTCAGCCGAAACGTAAACATAGCAGACGAAGCGTCGTGGTCAAAAAATAGCAACCATTAGAAACGCACGTAACAGAGCCATTATGTCATTCGTTCACAGCCATTGTCTCATTGGCCTGTACCGGCTCAATATTGTGATATTGGAGACGGGATCAGCTTACTCATTTACCACCACCACGGAAATCGCGGCCGAAATCCCTCTAAGCCACCCACAACGCGGAAGTTAACAGTATTTTGAAGCTCGATTGGCAGCAAATGCGGATGCAAGGTACGTAGCAGGGCTTCATGACCACAGGAACTCGTTATTGGCCAGTAAATTCCATTACGACCCTTATGCAAATCCTTGTCGTCATAACAAACAGTTCATCATAATAGTGAAAAAAGGGCCCTTGACGTTTACAGTAACAATATCTTAATTAATCCTTTCCATAAGTTCTCTGCACAGAAATCATGGAACATTATGTCATGAACACAGGAACTCGTTATTGGTCAGTAAATAAAAATATATACCTCCTATATGTAAGTAGAGAAAAGGAGCGTCACTCGCCATCTTGCCGGTTTGTTTACATTCGATCTCCATGGCGATTTTTTTATACGCTTATTGACAAGCGTCTGTGCGTAGATTGATCGATAATACATTGTGGCCACACAACGCCTCCATGTTTCTACTGTTACCCAACCAAGTGATTCCTTTACGAGTTGTTCAACGTCTCGTAATTTGAACGTTGTGTTCGATCGTCCAACGTCACCCTTGACGATACCCCGTACCAAGTCAATTGGATTCAGGTCGCAGTGGTAAGGTGGCAGTCGTAAGACAGCGTGACCCAGACCTTTGATGAAACTGTCAACTTTGTACATGGGGTCAGGTTTCATAGTTTTGATGATTTCATAGAGCTGTGGTTTCGTCGCTCCAGAAGGAAAGGTAATGTTCCTCCGTTGCAGCCAAGTAACCATGTCTCCTTTACGGTTATTAGAGGTTGGAGTCTTGCTTTCTGGATCCTGCACACTATGATACGGTGCATTGTCCATGACAATGTGAGACTTGGTAGGCAAAGCAGGGACTAATTTATCTTTCACTCACTCCAGAAATACATTGCCGTTCATTTATGTGTGGTAGTCCCTGTTGTCTTTGGCCTCTCTACATCCCGTAAAAATTAATTATCTATTGGCGTAAAACCAAATAAAAGTATGGTTGGATTTATGTCAAAACATGATGTACATTTACATCTAATATCCAAAAAGTCGTATGAAGCAACTAGGAGCTACCAATTTGCTGAATGCCATCTTTTTAACATATATACTAAGTACCTATGTTCTGACTCAACTTTTATCAGGATCTGTTTATACAACTGTCTCCGGTACCTGTTGTCTGTATCTGTGATCCTGTTGTTCTGTTACAGAATTACCCAATGTATCCATCTATGAACCCAAGGGTACATCCCCCGTTGAGTTGGTTGCACTTGGTGCTGATGCAGTTCAGGCTACAAAGTTGATCACAGCGGTCACCATGCCGACCCTAGTGGTTAAAGCGTTTGCTCATCACGCCGTAGACCCGGGTTCGATTCCCGACATGGGTACAATGTGTGAAGCTCATTTCTGGTGTCCCCCGCCGTGATATTGCTGGAATATTGCTAAAAGCGGCGTAAAACTATACTCACTCACTCACCATGCCGACCACGAACACAACCTTATACACATTTCCCAGTGTCTTTGTGACAAGGCCGAAGGTTTCTCCCTAGGTGAAGTCCACAGTGATCTGAACATCGCCGGTCGCAGTTGTGTCCATACTTGCCCCACTCGCACACCGTGACACCCTGTCCTGCAGAAACTGAAAGCACAAGTTTATTTGAAGTTATTGAGGACAATGGTTGGATTAAACTTTCAAGAGAGAATATTTACTTCTCTTGAATGAAGATCTGTGTTTTAAACTTAAAAATATAATCACATGGAAAAGGAATCTAATAAGTGTGCATATTTCTCGTGTAGAAAGTCCTGCAAAAGTCTAAATGAAAACAACTTAAAGAAATGTCATCTATTAACCATTACTTGTTAGTTCGTCCCAAATGGAGACAGAATTGTAAAAATAAGGATAAATTTCATATTTATATTCTTATCGTATCTCCTAATCTTTTCTTCTCCGATCGTGTGGAAACGTGATTGAACCATGTTTCCAGCTTCTGAAATAAAAGCATTCACCCGATGCAGTGATGGCCTTCGCTACCTGCTGGGAGAAACCTTTTGCGATGAGAGATTTCTGGAGATTATCCAAACGCAGAGATGTAACGTTGTAAGGGATGGATGGAGCCACAGAGAGCGACGTTGAAGGAGTAGGTCGTCGCGGAGCGGAAGTTGATGAAGTGTGCCGAGGGAAGTGTGCCAAAACCTCTGTAGAGGTTGGAACATCATAGTCGGTGGTGCGTTCAGCGGTAGTCAATTACCTTGTTGCACTAGCTGTGTCACAAAGGGGTCTGCAAGAATGGTCCAATTGCTTACAAATAACCCCAGTGTTCCGCCTACGGACATTGCTGTAACGGGAACAGCTGGAGGCGGAAGTTCACAGTCGCGCTGTTTTGAAAAGGAGTCAGTTTCCTGCTAAATCTCGACCTCTGGAAGGTTTATCGGAGCCCTTTGGTCTGGTAAAGGTGATGAAAAATATACTTGTATGAATATCACCGATGTTCAACAACAAAGATTGATAAGGTACTCTATTTGCCAGTCCACAGGGACTGGCAGTCACATGAATTACCGGTCCTTGTCAAATTTTACCGGTAAAAAACGGGTAATTACCAGTAAACGGGAACACTGTCATTTTAAAATATTTTGCATTCTTTACTTTAGTTTTATCCTAAGTTTAATTAAAGTGCTTACAGCGTCAACTTGTGGAGCATGGTACTGCCCAAGCCTAGCAGTGTAAGGACTGTCTGAAGTGTGACAGTGTAGTTCTCCATCATCCATTATTTGCAGTGCTAGTTCATGCCCAAAGCCACACCACCTCAATTTGCTGAAGAGAACTGTTTTGGGGAAGGATCTTCCTTTCTCCTGTAAGAACAATATTTGTTTCTTAACACTGGCTCTGGTCTAATATTTTGTGAAGTAGTTTTCAACAATCTATGAATAAAATCTAATTATCTCTTTATCAGTTTCAATAACCTTGTTGAAATTTTATAGATATTTGTAACAAAAAAGGTGCAGAGAAACATTAAATTTAGATATAATTTTTTTTCAATAGACCGTTCTTTTTATGCATACAAATATAATCATTTATCTATAAGTGGTCAGGTATCAACATCATATTACACATTTCAAATAAAATTCACTGGCACTGTTTGTAAGTATTCATCTTGTAAAATAACCTAATCAGTTGCAGTGGTGGGATATTTCTTTAGCTTTAATTCCATTAGTATGGGCTTGAGAAATTCTTCATATGCTTCTTCTGGTGTTTTATTTACAGAGTTATGGGAAGGTCTACTGTTCACTGAGTAAAACAGGTTTGGGCGATCACATGATGCGGATACTAAGCTGTAGTTAGCACGAAACCGAAGATATTTTGCAATGTGTTTTTTGTCGTTTTTTTAGCTGTTGCTGTCAAAGCAACAACTTTTGCTTGTGGTAGTATAGCCCGTAACAAGTCCAGTTGTCGATAATCAGTGCGGAAACTCTCACCCCACGTTCCAATGCAGTGAGCCTCATCCACAATGATATGCGATACCTTCTCCTGATATATTTCTTTTTTTTAGCTCACCAAGGAACCCCTTCTGTAACAAGTGCTCAGGGTGCCCAAGAATATATGTTGGCCTATGGGACATGACACTTTCGAATCCAAAACGCTCTGGTATAATTCGCATACACCTTTGGCCGTAATACTTAGCCTTTTCATGGATGATTGCATTCAGGGGACTCACAACCAATATGGATGTTAAATATTCCTGCAAAGGGAATTTGCATATCATAGTGCACGAACAAGCTGCCTGACAACGCCTGACTCCCATATAATAAGGAATCAATTCATATGCCAGACTTTTACCGAAACCAGTCGGCAGAACAGTTATTACATCACCGTTTTCTGAAGCGTAAACAGTGTCAATTTGCTGTTTCTTCAAACAAAACACATACAGAAGTATCTAAATCTACAGAGTATCGAATTAATGCACATTTAAGTGCATTAACTCTATTCAACATGTCTTCAATTTTCGCCATTGAACTAGTAAAATGTATAAAGAAATACAGTAGTTTGAACGCTCAGCCGAAACGTAAACATAGCAGACGAAGCATCGTGGTCTAAAAAAAGCAACCATTAGAAACGCACGTAACAGAGCCATTATGTCATTCGTTCACAGCCATTGTCTCATTGGCCTGTACCGGCTCAATATTGTGATATTGGAGACGGGATCAGCTTAGTCATTCACCACCACCACGGAAATCGCGGCCGAAATCCCTCTAAGCCACCCACAACGCGGAAGTTAACAGTATTTTGAAGCTCGATTGGCAGCAAATGCGGATGCAAGGTACGTAGTAGGGCTTCATGACCACAGGAACTCGTTATTGGCCAGTAAATTCCATTACGACCCTTATGCAAATCCTTGTCGTCAAAACAAACAGTTCATCATAATAGTGAAAAAAGGGCCCTTGACGTTTACAGTAACAATATCTTAATTAATCCTTTCCATAAGATCTCTGCACAGAAATCATGGAACATTATGTCATGAACACAGGAACTCGTTATTGGTCAGTAAATAAAAATATATACCCCCTATATGTAAGTAGAGAAAAGGAGCGTCACTCGCCATCTTGCCGGTTTGTTTGCATTCGATCTCCATGGCGATTTTTTTTATACGCTTATTGACAAGCGTCTGTGCGTAGATTGATCGATATTACATTTCTAGGCAACAATGCAGTTTACCGGGCGCAGCCCGAGCTCTGACACCCGCTCAATTGCCGCGCTATAGCGCCACCGCTGTCTCGTTATACCGTTACCGTGCCTCACGCTCTGGTGACTCTCGCTTCACGATCCAACACCCGTTCTCGGTCTTAGGGAAACTTACACATCTTCACAATCAAACACCCGTTCTCGGTCTTAGGGAAACTTACACGTCTTTACGATCCAACACCCCTTTTCGGTCATTAGGGTTAGCTGGCTTTGGGCAAGGGTTAGCAATAAATTCTTACCTTTTCAAGCGTTAATCCAGTTAGGTAAAGTGCACTACTCCCCATTTCTACACATGTACAAGCCATCTACATTCGATTTATGTCCCTTACTTACCGAAATATCAACAGTTTATTTCGCGAACTGGGAAAATATTACCAACCCCGAGCGGAAGTAAATTTCAAACGCGGGCAGAATCGAGCGAGCCACCTGATTGGCTGACCTACTCATGTCAAGTCAACGTGTGTAGCGACCAGAACTGGGATACGACCAGAACTGGGATAAACACCGTAGAGAATTATATCTGTGGCATGCAACTATGTGTTTGATTGACAAACATTTAATAAGAGCAAAGTCATCTGCACTTCTTTTGTTTTGTATTTTTACTCCGTTCTGCAAAGTGCGCCAATGGCAATGTCACTGACTCGATAGCCGACATTTGCAGCTAAATATAGCAGCGTATAAAAGTGGTAATGCGGAACTAAAGCGGAATACAATTTCTTCTTTTTATGCAGATCGCTCATGAAAAAATGCAATTCCTATAAACATAAACATTGCTTATTATCTGTAATTATTGCCCATTGCCATGTTTAATTTCTAATCATGATATCACTCCCAAATGAATTATTTAATTGTCTATCATATCATAACATTTGTGAAGTGGTGACATGTTTAATAACAGAGTAAATTTTCTGTTAAATAGCTATCTTGGCAAATTCTGAACACAGTGTTTTCCTACAAAATAGCAAAAGCCAAATGAAAATAAAATTATTCTCTAATTTATGTATTTTAAAGATGTTATGCCACTCATTGGTGGGGATACAAGCGTAATAATTCAAGTTCCTAGGATGTTTGTGTTATTCTATTTTTCAAGAGTTATGAGAGTTGGACATATTTCTTCTCATACACTAACACGGCAGGTAAATGTCTAGGAATAAATACTCATGACATTGTACAATAGGCCATGATATTCACAAAATATATGTGGGAGGGTATGTACATCAATATAATAATATTATTTATTTTGAATATTACTAAGTCTGTCATTACACATCAAACAATGAATACTCAACATGTCAGAGTTGAAAGGGGTACAGTTAAATTTGTACTATTCAAGGGTGTTCTAAGCCCCAACACCTCACAACCCTCTTGCAACTCATGCGTGTATTTTTGTTTGTATTCTCAAGTCCCAAAGTTATATTTTGTAAATATTATTATCACTATAATGCTAGATTTTAGTGGTAACAATTATTCAAAATCACTCCATTTGATTATTGTGTACATGATGATAAAAGCAACTATTTTTATATTAATGGTGGAGGTACATGTAACTGCTTCCAGGCATAGCAGATGCAGGATGTGAGAGAGTTTGTGCTTCATCTTAGAAGTCTAACTTAAAAAATAAAAGAAACTAATTACATATAGAAATATTAGAGTAGAAATTGTTGAAAAAGATTTCTTTAATGTTCCTTTGATTCACCCACCACCCTATTCTTTTTCTCATTTTTTAAGGAAAAAATACCATATGTAATACTCCGTATTACCAAATCTCCATCAGCATTAAAATAACTGGGAAACTCATTGAACCATTCCTGGTAGGTTATTGACATATAAACATTTTAGTTTTTATAACAGTTTGGCCAGCAAAGTGTCCTCATATATATGGAGAGACCATAAATATTTTATGGTCTCTGTTACATATGGAATCTAAATAATATCATTTAATATGATTGAAATATTTACAAAGGCTTCAAAATAAAATATATTTAATAAACCCATTACTAATAGAGAATTGAACTTGTTATCTCATGCTCTGTCATCATGGACATGAATATTTGCAAGACAAAGCAACAGTAAGAGTTATCCTCCCTTTGCAACTTGATCAAAATGGTCGTCTGGTCCTTGCAGTGGAAGGCCAAGTGGCTGGAGTTTCTAAGATAATATTTCTTTGAAAGACGAGAACATCAAGGTAAGTCATTATACCTTTACGTTTACATTTTTCTGTGGTTTCTATCCAGGCAGGTATACAGAGCTAGCACAATGTCATACATTGTGCTGTCAGTCCATCCATGATGATCAGCTAGCCTGCACAGTTGTGAAGGGGACGAAGCTTTTTTTAAAACTATGTAGTTTCATATGCAAAGCTTATTGACAAAGTACATGTTTCTCAAAGGTTCTAAATGCGAATGACAATGATCATTAAACAAAACTCTCAAGATTCCTTTCATTCTTGAAAGCATTTCATTTATACCGCTACTGGTCGAGGGGAGATGAGTAATGATATAGTCAACTATCTCTTAAAATTAGAAATATTGACCCATAGCATTCAGATTAGGCTCACAAATTAGAAATGCTATTTACTATCAGCAGCCAAAATAAAATCTTCAGATTAACTTAATTGTAGATTTTAAAGGCCTTATCCTATTTCTGGTCAAGAGGATATGAGAAATTAGAAATATTATATAATAGTGTTCAGGCTTTGCTCACAGGTTTGAAATGCTCTTTACTATCATCAGCCAAGAAGAAATCTTAACATTCCATTAACAGTAGATTTTATAGGTGTTATCCCATTTCTGGTCGAGGTGATATCAATAATAATATTGTAGAAAATCTCTTAAAATTAGAAATATTGTATCATAGCGTTCAGGCTTTGCTCACAGGTTTGAAATGCTATTTACTATCAGCAGCCAAGAAGAAATCTTAAGATAAACTTAATTGTAGATTTTAAAGGCGTTATCCCATTTCTGGTCGAGGGGAGATGAGTAATGATATCGTCAAAAATCTCTTAAAACTAGAAATATTGTATCATAGTGTTTAGGCTTTGCTCACAGGTTTGAAATGCTATTTACTATCAGCAGCCAAGAAGAAATCTTAAGATTAACCTAATTGTAGATTTTAAAGGCATCCCATTTCTGGTCGAGGGGATATGAGTAATAAAATAGTCAAAAATCTCTTAAAATTAGAAATATTATATCATAGTAATCAGGCTTTGCTCACAAGTTTGAAATGCTATTTACTATCAGCAACCAAGAAGAAATCTTAAGATTAACTTAATTGTAGATTTTAAAGGCGTTATCCCATTTCCTGTCGAGGGGATATGAGTAATATTATAGTCAAAAATCTCTTAAAATTAGAAATATTGTATCATAGTGTTCAGGCTTTGCTCACAGGTTTGAAATGCTATTTACTATCAGCAGCCAAGAAGAAATCTTAAGATTAACTTAATTGTAGATTTTAAAGGCGTTATCCCATTCCTGGTCGAGGGGATATGAATAATAATAAAGTAGAAAATCTCTTAAAATTAGAAATATTGTATCATAGCGTTCAGGCTTTGCTCACAAGTTTGAAATGCTATTTACTATCAGCAGCCAAGAAGAAATCTTAAGATTAACTTAATTGTAGATTTTAAAGGCGTTATCCCATTTCTTGTCGAGGGGATATGAGTAATAAAATAGTCAAAAATCTCTTAAAATTAGAAATATTGTATCATAGCGTTCAGGCTTTGCTCACAAGTTTGAAATGCTATTTACTATCAGCAGCCAAGAAGAAATCTTAAGATTAACTTAATTGTAGATTTTAAAGGCGTTATCCCATTTCTGGTCGAGGGGATATGATTAATAAAATAGTCCAAAATCTCTTAAAATTAGAACTATTATATCATAGTGTTCAGGCTTTGCTCATAAGTTTGAAATGCTATTTACTATCAGCAGCCAAGAAGAAATCTTAAGATTAACTTAATTGTAGATTTTAAAGGCGTTATCCCATTTCTTGTCGAGGGGATATGAGTAATAAAATACTCAAAAATCTCTTAAAATTAGAAATATTGTATCATAGTGTTCAGGCTTTGCTCATAGGTTTGAAATGCTATTTACTATCAGCAGCCAAGAAGAAATCTTAAGATTAACTTAATTATATTTTAAAGGCATCCCATTTCTGGTCAAGGGGATATGAGTAATAAAATAGTCAAAAATCTCTTAAAATTAGAAATATTATATCATAGTAATCAGGCTTTGCTCACAAGTTTGAAATGCTATTTACTATCAGCAGCCAAGAAGAAATCTTAAGATTAACTTAATTGTAGATTTTAAAGGCGTAATCCCATTTCTTGTTCAGGGGATATGAGTAATATTATAGTCAAAAATCTTTGTAAATTAGAAATATTGTATCATAGTGTTCAGGCTTTGCTCACAGGTTTGAAATGCTATTTACTATCAGCAGCCAAGAAGAAATCTTAAGATTAACTTAATTATATTTTAAAGGCATCCCATTTCTGGTCGAGGGGATATGAGTAATAAAATAGTCAATAATCTCTTAAAATTAAAAAGATTATATCATAGTAATCAGGCTTTGCTCACAGGTTTG